GTCCATACGGACCAGAACCGGATCAGAACCGGTTAAACCTGACCTGGGTCAGAAACTGGTTTTGGTTCTGGTTCTTTGTGTAAACTGGGAGTTTGTTGGCCTCTTCTTCTTGGGTTTATTTCACATTGAGAGCAGAAACTAGTTTCTTCTTCTTGGGTTGAAAAGTGTCTAAGCTCCGCCCACATGCTGCTAACCTGGCCCATCATGCTTTGCAGGGAGGAAATGGCGAAGGAGATGACCGAACTTCTGGCCCGGTGGGTAAAATCCGTCCGTCAGAACCAAATCGCTCAGATCTCTCTATGATTTGGATCAGATCGCTAATCAGAACCAGGTGATCCAAACTGGTCCATGAAGAAGAAGGTTCTGGACCTGCAAGCCGTTGAAGGTTCTGGTTCTGGACCTGCGACCCGTTGGTGGAGGAAGTTCAGGCGTTTGGAGTACCGGGAATTGCTGCTTGGGTCTTATTCCCGCTCACGCCTCCAGAACCACAAGAGCGTCTGACCCAAAAGACCACCTATGGAATACAGCGCCACCAGCGGGCCCTTCTTGGTACTTTCAGGTTTCTGATGAAGAGCTTTCAGGTCCAGAACCAGCAGAGGTCCGGTCCAGGTGGTTCTGCTGATCTGTGCAGCCGGATGAAGATGGAAAAATGGATCTCCTGGTTTCTGATGCAATGATAAAAATCTAAATTTGAAATTAAAATGAATCAAATTCCTGAATTTCCAACATAAGAAGTCGCTGACGGTTCCAGATGGATTCTGCTCACTCTGTCCGCCGGACCCTGGGTTCTCCTGGGTTCTACTTGGTTCTACTGGGTTCTTCTGGTTCTACTGGTTGTACTGCATGCAGTTCTTTCTCCTCTCCTCCACTTGGTGTGTTTCTGACCCATAACCCTGTTCTGTTTGTGGAACTGGACTCTGATTCCACCTTTGAGCTCCTGATGGACTGGAGTTCGCCGGGAGTTTACTGGGAGTTCACTGGGAGTTCACTGGGAGTTCACTGGGAGTTCTGGTTCACCAAGTGTAATGGAGCTGCTGAAGACCAGAGTGTTGATTCAGAGACTGAGGAGCAGATAGTTCAGATCCAGATCTGGTTCCAGACTCTAACACCTGGTTACGTGGTGCTGAGAACTGAGTCCAGATCCAAGTACAGAAACAGAACCTTTTGGACCTGGTCAGAACTTCTGCTGGTCCAGAAGTCTAGACTTCTCTTTGGACCACAACCATGATAAGAACCATGTTTCCGTGGGAAACTCTCAGTGAACTGGGCTCCTCAGGTGGATCTTTGGCGTTCAGGCGTTCCCCCTCCTCCTCACCTTCATGTCTTCATCTCACTTCCTGTTTCTTGTCTCTGCTTCCTGTCCCAGAGGGCCCCAGGTTCAGGCCAACAAAGCTGCTGCCAACGCCAAAAAGTTTGAATTGAGCAAGTGGAAGTACGCCGAGCTGCGAGACGCCATCAACACATCCTGTGGTGAGTGACCCGGATCTGGATCCAGGTTCATGTTCAGATCCAGATTGAAGTTCTGATCTAGTTCTGGGTCTGGATCCATCCAGACCCAGTAACTGTGTGGTGAACAACACAGTTACTGGATTTTGTTGCGAGGGGCGGGGCTTTTGGGTTAGGGGCGGGGCTACTAAACCATCAGCTTGGTTTTCAGAATCTAATTAAAGTATTAAACGGTCAGAATCAAACAGCATTGGGTCGGTGCTGACCGAGTTCTTTGGGTCGAGGTTTGGGCGTTCTCAGAGAAACAAAGTCCTTCAGGGAGGGTCCAGTCTGCTGGTTCTTTTGGGTTCAGAGAGTATTATGGATCAGATCTGTCATGTTAATAAATTAGAAATGAAACCCAGTGAACCTCCCTAAGTGGTTCACTGGTCCGGGTCAGAACCGGGTCCTGACCGGCCTCCTCTCCCTCAGACATCGAGCTGCTGGCGGCCTGCAGGGAGGAGTTCCACCGGCGCCTGAAGGTGTACCACGCCTGGAAGGCCCGGAACAAGAAGAGGAACGCCGAGACGGAGCAGCGGGCGCCGCGCTCCGTCATGGACTACGGTACGCTGCTTCTGTTCTGATTCTGAACCGGTTCTGGTTACACCAACTCCTCAGCTAAAGGTTCTGACCAACAGAACCTTCTTGCCACCAGAAGCTTCTGATCCAACTTGCTTCCTCACAGAGATTCTGGTTCTGAACAGGAAGTTCTGGTGCACAGAACTTCCTGTTTCTGCCCCAAACAGGAAATGGATTTATGTCACTTTCAAAATAAAGCTCCTGCAGGTTCTGGTTCTGTTTCTGTGTCAGGACCAGAACCGTCTTCATCCTGTGTCTCCGTGTTTCAGATGTTCCGTCTGCAGCCAGAGAAACACGTAAGTTCTGTAGAACCTGGCTAACCTCCACTAACCTGCTGGTTCCGCTGGTTCTGCTCCTAACTGGGCCTACTGGGACTGCTGGTTCTGCTTCTAGCTGCTCTGCTTCTAGAGGGAGGGGGGCAGACAAAGCTCATCAGAACCAGAACCTGGCTGGACCTTTGTGGTCAGATCCTGGTCAGAGAGGTACTGGTTCTGATCTGTTGTCCTGCTGGAGGAAGATGTTCTGGTGGTACCGGTCCACACTGGGTCCAGAACAAAGTGTGATCGATCAGAACCTGAGTAGATCCAGCAGGTTCTGGTCCTCGACTCTGCTCCATCAGTGAAGTTCTGATCCAGCTCGATTTGGACTTGCAGCTGGATCAAAAAGGTTTTGCAGAACCTTTTCAGATTCTTCCCACATTCTGCATCTTCTGGTTCTGGGTCTCGTAGCGTCCTGTAGGCCCTGATTTTCTGGGCCGCCTGGTTCTGGTCCATCTCCATGTCCTATTGCCTCTAACATCTCTCATCCAATCAGCAGCCCAGCAGAGCTTGGCCCCGCCCCTCCCGGCGCGGCAGCAGGACCTGTCGGCCAATCGGCAGCAGCGTTTCTTCCGCATCCCGTTCATCCGGCCGGCGGATCAGTTCAAGGAGCCGCAGCAGAAGAAAGGCTGGTGGTACGCGCACTTCGACGGCGCCTGGATCGCCCGACAGATGGAGCTGCACCCCGACAAGCACCCCATCCTGCTGGTGGCAGGTCAGTGGGCGGGGCTAACGGGGTCACAACCTGCAGGGTCATCGGCAGCATTTATATACTCGTGTTGGTTTCTGGGGTTGGGGCTTGGTGATGCAGCAAAGGATCGTGGGTAATTGAGCTCAAGCAAAGGTGAAGCAAGGCACCTTTATACGCTTCTGTGTGCGCTAGCTTCATTAGCTTCTACAGTTAGAGACCAGCTTCAGTCAGAGAAGCTGTTATGTTTCTAGTTGTTGCAGCAGCGCCCCGTCAGCAGATGGCGCCCTGGGCTTCCACCTATTGGTTCTATGTTGCCGATTTCTGGATAAATGATGGCCTGGTTTTCCAGAAGGGGATTTAATCTCTGCAGGAACAAAGACCTTTCGTCTGTTTATAGGAACTCGCGGATGTTTGGACCTTTGGTTCTGTCTGATGGTTCTGGTTCTGCTGCAGGGAAGGACGACATGGAGATGTGCGAGCTGAGCCTGGAGGAGACGGGTCTGTCCCGGAAGCGCGGCGCAGAGATTCTGCCCCGGCAGTTCGAGGAGATCTGGGAGCGCTGCGGCGGCGTTCAGTACCTGCGCAGCGCCATCGAGAGCCGCCAAGCGCGCCCCACCTACGCCACCGCCATGCTGCAGAGCCTGCTGAAGTGACGGGGCGCGCCGCCGCTCCCCACCTGCAGGAGGAGCTGGTCCCACTAGCCCATTTTAACGTCTGCAGGCTAACCGAGGCTAACATGCTAACTCAGGCTAACAGGCTAGCGGGCTAACAGGCTAGCGAGCTAACAGGCTAGCCGCTGCAGTCGGACCTCCACACCTGGAATATCTCGTTCCTCTAATCATACATTCCTGATTAATTCCGATGAAGCGTTCCCACCCGGCAATGGGCCGATGACCCGGTCCGATGACCCGGTCCGATCCGGTCGGTTCTGCTGGGCCGGAGCGGCGGCGTGAGGCGGAGCCGCTCCTCATCCTGATTGATGCTCGTTTCCGTTCTGGCTGAATGTTTTCCAGACGTCATTGATTTGTTGAATGAATCTCGTTTTTCCTGTTTCTGTTTGATTTGGGAACGCTGCATCCTGGAGCGGCTCTGACATCACTTCCTGTTTGAAAAGGACAATGCAACGCTCCGGGATCTGCTTCCTGCCAGACGGTGGCGCTCCGCAGCGGATCGACCGGAAAACGAGATTATTTTGGGGAGAAAGTTTCTACTTTTGTGGCTCCGAATGAGAAGCAATAAAAATGCAGGAATCAAACCGGCCACTTGTCTGTTCTCTGCTAGAAACCCGCAGGAGGATCCGGGTCGGAACCATCGACATCCAGCCTGAACTGGGTCGTCGGGTCGGCATGTTGAGGCTGTTAGGAAAAGAACCGGAACCGGTCCAGCAGGTTCTGATCCGCTTCTCTGAGCCTGATCTCTAACGGTTGAATAAAGTGTTTCCTGTTCTCCTTCCTGGTTCTCTTCTTCCACACAAACGAGCTGAAACACAGACTTGAAAAAGCCAGAAATATTCAACAATTCAGCTAAAATTCAAATAAAACAAAAAAGCAAAGTCCAGTTTGAGTCACCAGCTGGATCCAGAACCAGAACCAGCAGCTGCTTTAATGATCATCCAGGAAATAAAACAGAAACCATCAAGAGACGAAACTAATTCTGTCCTGGTCCAGATAAACTGACCGGGTCAGGTCCAAACCTCCGAACCATCTGTGGACCAGTAACATCTGGCCAGCTGCTGAACTATTACTTTGGACCCGTCCCATCTGGTTGTCTGGACCAGAACCATCTTAGTGAAGCAGAAGATCAAAGTTTAGCTCGGTTTGTTCTGATGGTCAGAGTACATCAGAACAAAAACTGCAGGTTCTGTTCAGGTTGGTCTGCAGTCCCGCATCAGCTGGAATGTTGAATAAGAAAACAGGAGTCGATAAAGGTTCCGGAGACCCAGCTTTTATTTTGGTAGTCCACTTCCTGTTGTCGGTGAGTGAATTAGCATACTAGCTAAAACTTTAGCTCTGCGATGAACAACTAGCTTCAATCTAAATATTTAGCTTCAGTTTAAATATTCTGCTAGCTCAGACCAACTATTTAGCTGTGGAGCTAAATATTTAGCTTGAATCTGGTATTTATGAATTAATAACAGTGGAAAGTGAACCTGCGCTTATTATAAATAAAGCAGGCTAAATAACCCAAATTGGTGCTGTTAGCTTCTAACAGCATCTGATACAGGAAGTCGCTGACTGGGTGGAATCAGTCCAGTTTGTTCCTTAGACGGCGGCTGCAGCGCCACCATCTGGTCATCACAGGACGCAACCCCTGTTGCGTTTATTGGATCCAACTATATAATACAGTGACCTTTAACCTCCCAGGTAATATTCACGCTGAACTTCCTGTAGATCTTTGGGTCCAGTGCCTTGGTGCAAATAAACCTTCAACCTCTTTTTCTGGTTGGATCGAATGTTACCCTGAATACTATCGGGTTCCTACAGGGTGATGGGCCGAGTGCGGGGTCGTCTCCAGGGTGATGGGCCGAGTCCGGGGTCGTCTCCAGGGTGATGGGCCGAGTCCGGGGTCGTCTCCAGGGTGATGGGCCGAGTCCGGGGTCGTCTCCAGGGTGATGGGCCGAGTGCGGGTCGTCTCCAGGGTGATGGGCCGAGTCCGGTCGTCTCCAGGGTGATGGCTGTCCAGGGTCGTCTCCAGGGTGATGGCTGTCCGGGGTCGTGTCCAAGGGCGTTATAGGTCAGTTCTCTAGGAAGCTCGAGGTGGAAGAGGAAGTTGTTCTCAGACCTTGAAGGTCCATGTATGAGGACAGAACCCCGTCTGGTCTTCATAACCCTAACTCAGGTCCCAAACGCAGCAGAACCGGGTCAGAACGGCTGAAAACGAGACAATCAAGGTTCTGCAATAACATAGTCAAAGTCCAGGTCTAAGCCCAGCGTGATGGACCTTTAGGTGAAGTCGACCTGATCTCCCAATCCATCAGACGAGCTCGTCGGTTCTGACCCGATTCAGTCAGGTCGACGCTGATCCTCTGAAGCTCTGCCAAGTCTGCAGGAACAGGAAGACCCGGTTAGAGGAAGAACAGCTGGTTCTGGTTCTACCACTGGTGGGTCAGAACTGACCCACCAGAACCAGTACCTTTTCACATTCCCTGGTCCCGTCCAATCCAACGCGTCGGGCCGGACCGCTGAGCTCCACCTCTGGGTCTGAAAGACAGGAAGCAGCAACCAGGTGAGTTCACCTTCATGCATGTAAAATACGTTTCTGTGGCAACCATCTCAGACATGAAGGTAAAAAACGAGGAAACTGGCAACATGTAGCAGTCTAGTTAAAGTCCTGATGCAGCGCAGCATCAGAACCGGGTTCTGATCCTGTTTTACAGTCCAATAAAAACCAGTTCAGATGACATCATTTCCACATGAAGCAGGACGTAGAAAAGCCAACAGACTAACCTTCATAGAGGCAAATAAGGCGATGAACACAACTCCACCAGAACCACCAGCTGGTCTTGACCCAACTGACCGAGCTGGAGAGGTTCTGTTGGGTTCTTTTTGGTTCTGCTGGTTCTATTGCGCTCTGTCTGGTTCTGTTGGTTCTGACCCAGATGGACAGAAAGTGGGCCTGGTTCCCGGTGTCTGACTGGTTGTTGTTGCTGAGAACAACGACTCGAAGACGGACCGAGGTCAACTAGGTACTGGCATCATGACCTTTGACCTGATGACCAGTACCTGAGAAAAACACCCAAACTCTGACATAACAGATGAGCCGGCTGCGGTTCGGTCCAGTTTAGGTGACTGGAACCTCTCTGGTACCTGCACTCGGCTCCTCGGCCTGGAACCACGTGACAATCCCCGTCTGGGCAGAACTCAGGCTCCAGCTCGCAGATGCTCCGACAGGACCGGTTCTGTTGCGCCAGGAAGCCCGGTTCGCATTGGCACCGGGCCTCCTGGGTCCGTGGGTCGACCACGCAGCGGGACGAGGCTCCGCAGGCCAGGAACCGGCACGGATCGGCCCGATCAGCTGCAGACAGGAGGATGGAACAAAAGAGTCAGGCTCTAACCAGACAGAATATCAGCCAGCCGGTTCTGGTTCTGCTGACCAGGAACAAAGAATTGCTTTAAATCTGGCTTTTATCTGAACGGCAAAGTCCAAATGTTGGGCTTCCCGAAGCAGAACTTAGAATTACGAATCCAAACCTTAAGGGTTCTGACCCAAACTCTGGTCCAAACCAAAACGGGTCAAACTTTCCAAATACGTTATCAGTGCACCAGAACCAAGAAGCCGGGCTTCTTGAGCTCCTCAGCAGAACCTCGGCCTGAGGTCCGGTCCGGTTCCAGGTCACAAAGCAGGTTCCTCTGGGTTTCCGTGGAAACACTGATGGACCCACAATAAGTCCAGTTTTTTAGCTAAGTCGGGTAAAGTTCTAGTGAACGATTCTGTCAGTAGACAGCGTTCAGGTAGGTAACCCCTCGTTTAGTTCTGTCTGATTAAAGTCAACAACTGACCCGTCCCAGAACGGAACGTCCTTGACCTCTGACCCCTCACCTGGCTCCACGTCCAGCGAGCTGCGGTCGATCTGCAGCCTCCTGGCGGCGGAGCAGAACCGCTCCAGCAGGCAGCGGACGGCCTCGGTGACGTTGTAGGGCACGGAGCGGGAGAAGCGCATCTTGCTGTTGACGACCACGCTGCCCTTCCTGAAGTTCAGGATCTCCAGTTTCCTGAAGCCCGTCAGGTTGGCCTGCAGGTACGGCAGCAGCTGCAGCGGCAAGCGCAGTCGTAGGTTAGAGGCATGGAAGGAAAGCAGGAGCAGCTAATGAGCAGCTAATGAGCCGCCGCTGGCTCTCTTCAGCTCATCTGCTGCTGGGCAGAGAAGCGATTTAGTTTTCTACTGCGTTAATCTGCCACCGGCTTCATAGAGAGCCTGAATGTGAAGCACCTCAGTAATTAGTTCATATTTATTCATATATTGGACTTGACCATGACTGCACATGCTGCAGAAATCTAATAAAGAAAAAGGTTTTAATGAGACGCCCTGATCAGAACCTTCTGGACCGCCTGGATGGGCCTTTAATGCGGGAACACTTCTCTTTCCCAAAGAGAAATGTTCTCAGCTCTCCTGCTTTTAGACATCACTAAATGTTTTAGGAGCAGGAAGCTTCTCCAACATTCTCACAAATAGGGGAAAGCCTTGGGAGAGACCACAGCCTTCATGTTACCTGCTGAAAGTTTCACCCTCTCTCCACCATGAGGTCTGGAAACATCTCACAATTTTTCCATCTTTTCCAGTCTGATGTTCAGCTTTCTGGGGTTCCACTCACCACGTCTAGAAGGGTGTTCTCCAGGGCTCTGTACTCTGCTGAGGTGTTGTTGAAAAGGTTTTCTGAGAAGTCCATGTTGGTGAGACGCAGGCTGAAGAACACCACCAGCTCCTGCCTATTGCTGGCAGTGGTCATGGTGGGCGTGGTCAAGTATCTTAGCGGAACGGCATCTTCCTCTGCTGCAGAGGTCGGATCACTGCCAGGGTCCACTGACTCCTTACTGGGAGTGTTGCTCTGGTCCAGGTCCTCAGAAAACGTCTCCCCACCTGGAGAGGCAGTGAGGCTTTCAGGGTTTGCTGTTTCCACCCAGGGAACAACAGGTGGTTCTGGTTCACTTGTGTCCTCTGTTAACTCAAAGGGCCCAGAGACCTCAGTCGGCCCAGATGTTGGTACTTGAACTAGGTCCACAGAAGGTGGAGGTGCAGGGAGAGCTTCTGAGACTGGGCTATGAGTCACAAACATTTCTTCTTCTTCTTGTGTCTTTGATGAAGCGTTATTGGTCACTCCAGTGTCCTCTGACTGAACCTCTGGCTCTGCAGCTGTTGCAGCGAGGAAATGGTAAAATAACAGAATGAGTCTGGAACAACTGTCTAAATTCTACTAAACGTATCTTCTGTAACATCTAGACCCTCCAATATCTGCTCAAGGTAGTTAATGACAGGAAATCAATTTCCCTAAAGGAGCTCATGTTGAATCTTAAAGCTTGAGAACCTAAAGAATAGATGTTACCTGAGACAGATGTTGCTGCTTCAATGGGTCGATCCGTCTGGACAGGTCCTGGTGGTCTGAAGGGACTGGCTTCTCTCTCCACCTCTATGTTTGTTCTATCAATGTCCTCCTTGGTGTCAGCCTCCTCTGTGATTGGGTAGATGCGGTTAGATGCTTTTTCCTCAAGTGGATGGAGGAGTCCTGGTATGGCGGTTGGATTATCTTCCACTGATGGGTTGAGTTGGTCAGAACCATCCAGTGGATCTTCCCCCACTACCTGAACACTATCCTCTCTGTAGTGAAGTTCTTCCATGCTTTCCAAAGTCTGGAGGATTTTGATGAACCCAATATCTGGTTCTGTAGAATCTCTCTTTGGCTCTGGCTCTACGACCTCCTTTCCTGGTTCTGGACCTTTATTTAAGTCTGGTAAAAAGTCCAATCGGTCTTTGTCTGGTTCTGAAACTGTCTCCAGTTCTGGACTTTTTGATGTGGCTTCAGTCTTCTTTTCTGGTTGTGAAGAAGGTTCTGGCTGTGCAATCTCCACCGGCCTCCCATCAAGTGAGACCACTACAACCTCTTCATCCTCCAAATCTGCATTAGGAATTCAGTGACATCTTCTGTTTGAAGCTTCACCACATGGACAGATTTTTCTCTAACGTCTTCTCTATCCAACTCAGGAACTGCTTCCTCTGGTTCAGAAACTCTATCAGCAACTCCACCCATGTTGACGTTTTCCTCCGGTTCCTTGGGAACCTTTTGTTCTGTAACTTTGAATACGGTTTCCTCAGTATCTTCAGGACCATGTCCTGTATACTTCAGTCACACTTTCTTCTGAGCGCTCAGGAACTCTGTCTTCTATAAGTTTGGGAACTCTCTCTTCCTCAGTGACCTTGAGAATAGTTTCCTTGGTGACTTCAGCAACTTTGTCCTCCATAAATATGGGAACCCTTTCCTCTGTTACATCAGGACCCTTTTCTTCAGGGACTTCAGGTAACGTTTCTGTCAGAACTTCATGACCTGGTCTCTCTAAAACGGTTTCATCTTTGGAGCCAACAAGCACCACCTCTTCCTCTTTTTCTGAGACTCCACCAGAGTTTCCTCTAGTTGAGGAATTAAAAGTGACACCTCAATGACTTTTTCTCTCTGCTCTTCTTTTAGTTCTGTAAGTTCAACTATTTCTTTTTCTAGTTCTACACCTTGCCCTGTGAAAACCTCAGGTTTGGTATCATCAGAGTCCGTCTCTAGAAGTGATTCTTCTGATTCAACTGATTTTAATGTTTCAAGGTCCTTCTCTATAATATGAGCCACAATTTCTGGCTCTGTAACTTCGTCCTGACTTTTGACAACCGACTGTTTCTTTGTCTCTGATGCTTTAGTTGAATCTTTTTCTTGGATTGAAACATCCACTGCTGCTTGTCGAACTTCTTGGTGTGGCTCTGAAACTTCAGGTGCTTCTGTCTCTGCAGTGATAGACTCTGATGGCTTTTCTTCTTTATCTGGCGCTGACACTTCAAATGTTGCTTCACCCGACTCTGACCTTTCAACTGCAACATCTCCTGGTTCTGAGACTTCTACTTTCTCAAAGTTTGGCCTTAAAAC